AGAATGTCTAAATTAAGTGTTGGCTAATATGTGATAAGTGTATGAAAAGCTAATTGATCTAGAAGGTTATAATCAGCTTAAATTTCAGCTACTGAATTATTGATAAAATTGGAAGCTGGCCATAGGAGACCTTAATTTGATTGTTATCTGACTGCATTAGAGAAATTATAAATTTATTTTGGTCTGTGGTCAGCAAGTACATTTACATAATAATGAACTAATAGTGAAAACGTGGTCATGTTCATATTTCAGAAGTATGAACTTCATGGCTGAATAGAATTCTTCAAGGGTTTATTCATTCAGAGAAGGGGGCAGGAAATCAAGACTGATGTAGCCAGGCAAGCTGTCTGCATATTGTTCCCAGTTCAGTCTTTTTATAATTACCTGTATTCTGTGGGCTACTAGACTAGAAATTACTATTCACAGCAGTAAAAGGAATCCCTTCACCTTTCAGCTCTTGCATTTTTGCTTGACTTTTGCTCCAACCCCCTTGATTTCACTGCTTCTGAAGCTAAGCGGAAGTGTTAGATGCTACCACATTTCATAGTGTGGGATATCAAAAGGCGTAGTGACCAGTACTGACATGCCTCCTTTAGCAGTACTAAACCCAGGTGATAGAAGTGTATGCTGTTTCCTATACACAGTAGTGCTGCTGCAGAAGGTCTAGCTAGTGTTGGGAATTGCACCTTCAGGAACTGCACCTTCTGCAACTGAGGATAATTGTCAAATTTAGGACAAAAAAAGAAAGTCTTGCAAAGACTCCTTGATAGCAAGTGAGAAGAAATTGTACCAAGCTTCGGGACACTGACACTTTATGCAAGGATTACATTGTCAAGAGCTGGTTTTTGAGTGTGGTTTTTGAGCAGAGAAGGGAAAGATATGGAAGAGAACAATCCTTTTCAAAGGATAACCAATCTTGGGAATAACTGCTTCCTGCATACCTAGTAAACTGTCTGGTCTTCCTCCAAAACTAGTAATTCTGCTTGCTGTTCAGGTACAGAGCTGCATAAAGGCAGTTCAGGTTAGGTTCCATTGGGTTTCTTTTACTGGATGATCCAGCATTTTACCCTTGTAGCGGTTTGACTGGCACACAAAAGCCATCAGTTGAACCAGGGTGTCTCATTTAGGAGTGCAGAACACTAACCGTGGATGCTGATGTCTATTCCCTTTCAGTCTGCTCTGCACTTTCTCCGGAGTTTTAGAGAAAGTGTCGGTGTTCATGATGTAAGCAGAGTGTGTTTCTGTCTCTGAGCCCATGCACCAGGTTATAATATAGACAGATTCCCTAAGGCTTTACAACATCTACAGTTAAAGATAAAAGATAACTTACTGTTATAACTGACTGTTTAGTGTGTCCTATGTAAATCCTGTCTGCTTCTCTCCACTTCCCCTCCAAATGAGTGTGTTTGCAGGTCAAATAAAAGATGGGTAGTTTGTAATGCCTTAGGCATGAAGAACTCCATGGAGAAACTGAAGGAAAGCGGCACAGGCCCACAAACCAAATCTTAGAGCTAGTATTCTAATTATGCATGATTCAAAATGTCTAGTGTAATGTAGTTATTACCAGTAAATTGAGATATGCATTTATACATAATGAAGCAATAGGAATTAATATACCAATAGCTTGAACTTCTGCTTTGATTCTCAAATTTTGGGTTTGTTTTTATTTTTTAGAGAATGTGCTGCCTCTGTAGAGAAAGGGGCAGAATGTATAGATAGGGACAGAAGCATGGCACCAAAACTGTAAATCAGGAACCAGGATCAGCAGAACTCGCCTTTATAACCTCTTGCCTGGTTCATATTAGTGCCCTGAGCATGTAAAAAGCAGGGCGTGAACTAAGCATGTTTAGGGGCGAGATGAGGTTTCTCACCTGCTGCAGCTGTAGCAAGGAAAAGGGTGCAGAGTTTCTTACAAGGTGCAGGGGGGAGAAACTGGTGGGAAAGAAAAAACAAACAAAGAGAAAACAACACAAAAAAAAAAAACAAGTAATGGAAATCACAGACTCAAATTGAGTGTAGTATTTGCCAGACAATAGGTAATAAGCTTGGGTGTGGTGAGAGAAATTATTTGGAGAAGACTGAAATTAATAAGCACAGTACATATATTTCAGGTGTTGAATAGCTTTTTAATAGACAGTATTTTCAGGTAACTCTCTAGCCACCTAGGCAGCTGTACTGAAGCATACTGGTACCAGCCAGCAATAATGGCACCTGCAGGAACGAACCTGAAAATACTGGTAATCTTGTATATTTTTTAAGTTCTTTAAAGAGATTTTAAAAACAAAAAACGAGATTTGATCACTGAAGGTCTTTATCTTCTGCAACACAGGTTGCAATAGTCTTTTTCCTTTATTTCACTTATTAAGTAAAAGGGAATTTGGGTGCCATCTTTCTGTAAACTTTCAGTGTGTTCTCTGTAATATTTCCCAAACCTTTTAGTGGATAATGCAGTGAATTTCTGCTGGCATTTTGAAAATAACATAGAACGTGGGCATAGCCTGTGTCGCTAATACTTTTCCAAGTTAAAAATTGTATTCAAACATGTAGAATACTAGCTTGTTACTGCAGAATTCCATACTTCTAGCTTAGCTTAATTTTGTAGGTGGGCTTAACTTGTGCAGAACACTTCTCCATGTGCAGAGGCTCAGTCCTCTTTCTTACACAGAAAGAGGAAATGTCTTGGAAGAAGAAATTGTGTGTCAAGTTAATTCCTGTTCATACTTCATAGCCAACCATACATAAAGCACCATGGTTTGGGTTTAGAATGGGGGTTGCGTTTTTCTCATGAATTCTCTTTCTAGATATACAAGGATTGCCAAATGAAGATAGGAATATTGTAAGAGAAGATGATAACTAATTTATGGTATCAGAAGTTAGACTAAATGAAATCATTTGAGCCAACTTCTTCAAGCAAAAAGGGAATTTGTAAAACAAGTTTAGCCCAGCAGTTAACCATGGTCACCTAATTCTTAGTGGGTAGGTATTCTTTAGAACATTTTGCATGGCTTTAAACCCTGTTAAATGTATTTTCTTTTGTGTGATGAGTAAGCAGCTGTATCCCTTGTTAGTGCTTATTCCCTTCAATATAAAAACTGGGTAATAAGCTACTTGAAGGGTGTCAGTGTAGATATCCTCCTTTCAAAAAGTATGATATAACAGCAAAGGAGAAGTTCTTAAAAATTACCTTAGTACTTAAGAAACAGGCTAGAAAACACTTGTTTATACTGAACTTCTGATGGCATGCTCACATGGATCAGTGGAGGAAACTATTGGTGTTGCTAGGAACTATGTACTCCCATTGCACACGTTTTACATGGTAACAGTGAAAGAATGTCTCCCTGCAAATTCTGATGTTTTTCCAAAAGGCAGCTTGCTTTTATATCTATGCATCTTTGAGGATTTCAAGATAAGATTTTATTCTTTTGACATTGTAAAGAGGAACTGTTTAAAAATGAACTCGGAAACTCTGCACCTGTATACAAATTTTTTTAGCAATAAAGCAGCACAGGCTGAGAATGCACTAAAATTGGATGCGTCGTTTGTTCAGAAGGCAAACTAACCAACCTACTATACACTCCACTCCACTTCTGAGATGCGTTTGTACTTGCTCTACCTTTGTCAGAACTTAACAATTTGAGCTAAACTCACATATGCTGGATATCTGCTTTGGGTCCAGCTGTTCCAGCAGACTTCAGGCACATGAGCCTCTGAATTCTTTGAAGGCAACTAAAGGAAAATTGTTATTTCACTCTAAAAGCTTCAAGGGTTGTTTTAGATGGTAGCAGAAAGCTTCTGTTGCTTGTATTGATGTCTGAAAGTAATAAGCCCCTCCAGGAAACTGTTTCGTATATGTGGATTGTTTATTGTTTTGTCAACTACATTTCTGAAAAATTCCTTCTGTGGCTGGCATGTCACAAGCTGCAGGGAGACACAACTTTCCTTGCAGTTGCTGCTGAAAGCAGTTTTGGGAAGTGCCATAACGCAGCATCACGACACCACCTTACAAGGACAGTGCTTAACAAGCCATGGCTCCCTATCCTATTACAAGCTTTCCAAAACTTGTTACGGATTGCTAACCCTTATGCTAGTTTATAGAAGATTCACAGTATGATTGTTACTTCAGAAGCCTGATCAGCCTCCTTAATTTAATATCTTCTAGTTGTTTTTTGTCTTTAGATTCCAGAGAAGACAGCTGCTTGTCAGCTAACACAGAAAGCAAGTAAGTCTCAAGGTCAGGCCTTCTTAAGTGCTTGGTATTCATTTAGATAGAGAATCCAGCCCTGGCTGCTCGTAAAGCTAGAACACATCTCTTGATGCCCAGTTAGAGGAGATTAGGTTCTACACCAGAATAAGAAAAACAAATATTCACTGATCAATTGTAGATTAAGAGGAATTTGAATCTGGGACAAGCTGAATCTTTCAGGAATAAAAGTTGGTATGCATCACTTAAATCAAAATACACCTGTAGGTTTAAGTTGATATCTCAGTAAATGAAATTTATTTTATCTCTTGTAAATTAAGGTGGCTTGTTTCTTAAAACAGAATTTACTTAGAACACTGTACTGCTGTGAGTGGCAGCAGGTACATCAGACCATAGTCAGTGCCGTGGAAAAAAAACAAACAGACATGAAGGACCACAGCTTGACTCAACAGAGCAGAGGTCCTCCCTAGTTCCAAAGATTAGAGGATTAGAGAAGTATAGTTTAAAAACTTGCCAGCTATTATTTAGTACATAGCATGACTTTAAACACATAATGAGTAAATAACATAATATGAGGAACCATTAATTTAATGCTTTGTAATGAGCGAGGACCCAAGCAAAGATAAACTGATGGGGCTTTTTCTGCAAACATAATTTAAGCAAAAATGGGCTTATGACTCAGATGGTATTACATGTGATCTACAGAATACATATTTCTGAATTTCAGCTTTTTTTTTTATTTAAAAAGTTCCTTCTTTACAACTGTAAAGATAATACAAAAAAATGCAACTGACAGCTTTCTTTTCCTTTTAAGGGTGGACACTTGGCTCAATGAAGCAAGACCATTTAGCATTATTATACACAGTATATATACACAGTATAGATATAAAGTATATAGCAAGAAACAGTCTCAATGCAGAAACCAGAACAAAAGGCCAAATGTGAGTAGTCCTGTTATCAATGATGTTTCTTAGACTGAAGCAACAACAAAAGGACCATCACTTAGAAAGTAACACAAAGGTGAAGTTATACAATGAAAGGCATTTATCCAAGATGGGGAGATGCTTGCACGAAATTAGTTTAGTCACAACACCCCACTTAAAGACCAACAGGCCCTTAAACATAATACAGAAGTCACTGCACAACACAACTTTAAAAACTCCTTTGTTCTTAATAATGAAATAATCAAATACAGCAAATCCAAACTTTTCATAAATATACAGTGACAACTGTTAAGAACAGCCTTCCAGTTAAGGATGGAAGATAGAGCTCATTGTAGCAAAGATAACATTTATCCCTACAGGCAATGAAACAGATCTTGCAGGAGCATAACATTTACTTCAGGTAGTTACTTCTGATATCCTGAATTTAGCTGTCATTGAAAAGCACTGTATTTTTGCACATGTGCCTGTCAAATCTGTAAAACATAAACAATAGAAATAATTTAGATGGCATACAGTATTAGACTTTAGCAGAGCATGCCCCTCCTCTCCCTGCAGAAGAGCTGCTGATATTCTGTTATTGCTTAATCAGAGTGGACTAAGACCACATGGAACTGTTAATCAAAAAGCAGCACAGTGAACATTAGTAGTTTAATTACCAGCTGCCCACCTAAATTTAGCCTCTGAGGTGCCTTGCAAGTGCATTTTGTGCCCTCTGCTCCAAGCCCCTTACAAGAGTTATTTTACAAATAAAACAATTAAGTCTATGAAATACAGGGAGTACTGGCATCAGCAGTGACGGGGAGTGCAATCTGCCAGTCATGTATGGAAGTAGTAGTAAGGGAATAGCAAATTGCATCACTGAAATTAAGTTTGTCAAGTAAATACAATCCTCTCTGGATTACTACAGACAAAAGGCTTTTAAAACATCAGCCCTTTAGGCAACAAAAGGGAGAGGAAAAGACCCTTAATCTTCCAACTAACAAGAAAAAGGCATAAAGATACCCGGTCTTGATAACATGGGATAAGTAGCATTCTTTCTTTTCCATCAAATTGCTTTCTAGATGTTTGGAAAGAAGCAGAACCCATTCAAAACAGAGATCCCAATGAGTACCCATTAGGTATTTCTTAGGAAAAATCTTGACTGGCCAAGGGAAGGCAGCAGGCAGACCATCACAACTTCAGCAGAGCAGTGTTCCCATGACTGAGCTAAGTGAAAGAGAAGACTGTCCCTTAGTTTCACAGCTTCAGCCCCAGAAAGAACAGCTCCAATCTGCTAAAGGCAGCTGCTCACAGCCTAAGCTTTATGGAGCTACCAGAACTCGACTCAGTCCTGTGCAGCCTCGGGGCAGCACTTCCAGAGGACTTGGCAGGCACGTGGGTTGTCCTTGAATTTGAAATCCAAAACCTTGCGCACCAGCCAGCACTGTGCCTTCCAGATCTATGCACTAAGCGCACTGTGCAGCTTCCATGACATGCTAGCTTGCTGCTTTTGCAGGCCACACACACACCAGCAAATCTAAAAGAACTAATCAGAAAGCTATTTAGCAATGCCTTGCATACCAGATGCAGCTAATGAGCCACTTGACACAGCTACCTGCCATTAACACTGTATCTATACAAAAAGGTAGGACGAGAACTTTAGATCTCTCTAAGAGCATTCAATTTATAATAGTTCCTCTGGAATATCATCTTGTCGGTAAGTTTTGTATAGTTCCAGAAACCTGATTTCAGCATTTCAAAGGCTGGTTTTCCCTGTGAAGTCATTAGAGAGAATCAAAGTCATAGTTATACTGTCAGAGTGATGTGCCGCGTGGGTGAGCTATTAATTTTTCCAAGCAGAACTTCCATGTGTCAGATTTTCAGGTGTTCCCCTTCGACTGAAGGGATGCACTTAAGTACCAGTTCTTTCTATATACAGATAAAGTGCCAGATCAACACTCAAACCTGTTCTGGTGCATTGTTTCATCATAATGAAAAAAATTCAGCAGAGATGCAGAAACAACTCCAGCAGTTCTTGAAAATGGCATATTCTTAGTTGACCCTGACTATCGCATATCCTGGCAGTAGGCCAACTGCATCTGATGCAGAGCTTTGCCTCTCTGCCACATTATTCTTTTGTTCCACTTCCTGCAGCTTCTTCATCAGCATATCTATGCGAATGTGGACCTCCACAAGCTTTTCTTTCAGCTAGAAAAAAAGAGAAATAAGAGTATTAAAACTAGAGAAAAATGTCCTAACATTGGATCTTTGAATGATCCGCACACCACTTTCAGTGGCTTAAGAGCAGCTGACTTTCAAGATGGAAAATCATATTGGGCTTTAATCTCTATACTGCATGCCTAGTACCGCCAAAGCTTGCACCCAAATCAGAGGCCTGCACTACAAAAAGGAGGCAAATGAATGTGTGCCAGCATAACTCCTTTCAGAGACATATGGAAATACTCTACTTAAGGAGACAGAGTTGCTGGAGCCTTACTATGATCAATCCAATCTTTCCTAGTTAACTAATTACAAGTTTTTACACAGCCAGGGACCTCCTTTGACAATATCTGGACAGATGGTTTCATCATTAGCTTGGGAATACACATGGACAGTCCCTCAAAAATGCCATTTCCAGAATCTGAGGTTTAAGTTAACGCATCTAAAGCACAAGAGTAAAATCCTGCTGACATTACGTCTCAAAAAGCAAAGACCAGATTCTTGCACTTGTTCTAGTCAACAAGCAAACTCTCCACAGTGACATAATTTGTGTTTGCAATGAAGTACCACCATTTTTTACTTCAGAAAAATGCATCTCAACTTTAGAAGTCTTGCCTGGGTAAGATTTTTGCATTTTACCCTCACTTGACCTCAAAAAACCACTCTGATCATATGGTAAGACACTGGAAGATGACTTTGAAGAGGACAAAACCAAAGAAATGTCACAGGCCCATTTCCGTGCTTAGAACAGAAACTAAAAAAGAAAAAAAAATTAAGGAGCAAGTAAGCACATAAACACTGGATACACTGGCTGTCTCCTAGACACAGTAACTTCGAGCTATGGGACAGACAATTTACTAAGTTAACAACTAACCAAATTACAGAAAAGAACATCCAATTAAAATACCAAAAGAGGAAGGAAGTTCTAGTGTTAGCTCTGAAACAAGTACATACTGCTGTGCTGTTTTGAGCTTACATAACCATAAGTACAACTGTGCTAGAATCCCTCTCAAATTAACAAATTGCTATTTTTTAAATTTTTCAACAGTGACCTATCAATTATAGGGACAACAGAAGCAGTAATATTTAGGTAAAGTCTGTCTAAATGATTCTTGGTTTTGTTCTTTTCAGATTGTAGAGAGAAAAGGATAACACACTTTTGCCAGAAAATTAGCTAGAACTGGATTTGCTTTGCAAATGAGTGGTTCTATAAAATTTTTTGCAGGTCTCACACTTTTAAGTCAGTCACTGTATTGTAAGTCAGTATTTTCTCCATCTTATGCACTTAGAAAAAAAGTAATTGTATCAATATTTTTGGACTAATACAAAAAAAATACCAGCGTTTAAAAAGTATTTTCCATACAAATTAATGTAGCAACCTTACTTCCCGCAGTTGTTCCTTTAAGGTCACAGCAGGAAAATTCACCTTAGAAGCTTCTATTATCTTTTGTTTTTTTAAGAGATAACTGGAAAACAAAAGGGGAAAGGAAAAAAAAAAAAAACCAAGAAAAACAGTTAAAAACCCCATAGTTGCATTCATTGTTTCGACAGATTAAGATGATTTTAAAGCAGATACAGCGTTGTTGCCAAAACTAGTCAATACATTATAAAAATATTAAAAGCATGACAATGGTTTTACTTTGAAATCACAATCCTCTCATCACCAGCTATAAATAATTTACAGCTTCTACAGTCAAGTCCTCAATCTATCATGGCACTACTTTGATACTTTACATTAGCTAAGCAAATCTGGTACTGAAGGAAATTTCAGTATTGCAAACAACTAAATTTAAACCTGGACATTACAGGAGGACACTTAAGAAGTGCAAGGCAAATCAAATGGAGTCATGCCAATATAAACAATTTAAACACAAAGGATTTTAAAATCCAGCACCAATGCAAAGTCAAAAGTAAAGCTCCTTTTGTTTTGTACACCCTGTTGTAATAACTTACAAATTCCCATGAAATCACTGACCGTAAGAATTCAGTATACTCACCAGAGGATGCTGTCCTTAAAGAAACAGAAGAAGCCTCGGAGATATGCCAGGTCTCTGGGGGCAGAATAAAGAATGAAGCCCACAATCAAGCCACATGACCGACAGGATAATGCATTGTAAGCACTAAAAGAAGATAGGGAAAAATATTATTAAACAGAAGACGCCATAAATACTACATGCTTGTCAGAGGACATCAAATCTTCAGTTCTATCAGGACAGCAAAACAAGACATAATAATGCTTTCTCCTGAAAGAAATCATACATACAAAGACAACGTGAACATAAAAAGTTGGGCATGTTGTGCAAAAAAAAAATAATAAATTGTGTAATAAGTGAAGTTGCAATTAAGGAAGAAAATACATGTCTTATTATCAGAGTGGTTTAGGCTATACTACTCAAACACAATTTCACTGGTAAAACAATGTCCGTGCCAGGTCACAGATGTGACATTTCCTCCTGACAAAACAGATTATTGCCTCACGCAGAGAGGGGGTGGGGGAAAAAAAAAAAGCAAGTCTTATAATTTAAAAAGTTCCCAGCCGTTATAGTTTGTAAAATAGCCTTTAAATATAATTTAACAAAAACTACTGGTTCTGTAAGTCTTCAGGTGATATTTACATCCCTCCCATCAGACTCAACCCAGAGTTACCAGACCTGTTGCTAACCGTAGGCTCCTGAATAGGGCAGAAGTAGTTATTAATTTTCTGTATTAAAAAAAAAACAAAACCAAAACAAAACACAAAGATACTTTAATGTAAGTAATAGACCTTTTAGGGAAGGAGCAGAAGACATCAAAAGGCTAGACTGTCCTTTACTGCATCGCTGAAGTGTTCCTCTCCACCAACAAAGGTTAGAGCAGCAAAACCTTTGATATTGACAAAAATGAAAGCTACGTACCTACAAAAGGTTTCTCCACCCGAAATGATGAAGCACGACTACAAAAAGCACTTCAGAGTGTACCAAGCCCCTAGGAAGCCCCAGCGCACCGGTCAGGGGAGCTCCTGCCCCCCAGCTCTGCAGAAGCCTCTTTCTGCCCACGCGACTGACCGTGGCGGCTGGCCCCATGCCCAAAAGCAAGGACGAGGTGAGCTACGCACCATCCCAGGAGGGCTCCCTCGAGGCCGACCATGAGCGAATCCTCCCAGGCCACG